ATCATATGCCTGGTCAGTTGAGTCACAGGAAAGAACCGTGCTCCAGTTTGTAAGTTGTATTTCCTCTTCAAAATAGTTTAGTCTTCTTGAGCTTATATCTCGGTGAAAAGTGTAATTTGTGTTCGAAGACTTTTTTGACCGAATTTTTAGATCGGCAAACAAATAAATTGGCAGGTGGTCACTGATTGTGGCCCCAATGACACCAGCAGTTAGGCGTGAATCATCAATATTTGTTATGAACAAGTCTAGAAGCGTTGCATTGGTATGATTTGCCCGAGTTGGTTGGGATATTGGACAAAAGAAACCGCAGGAATTATACAATGACAAAAACTGCAATTGTCGCGGAGATGACGTCATCATATCTATATTAAAATCTCCGCCCAAGTAGAAGGCGACATTGTTTTCACCCATGAACATAAAGAGTTTTTCGATGAATTCCAAAAACAAGTCCATATCACCATTCGGTGGACGATACATAACAGATAATATAGATTTTGAACTTTCTAAAGTCAGAATTTCAAAATCATTTGTAACAGTAGTCAACTGATCTATGACCGTACATTCGAAAGCAGTTTTTTGCGTAAATACAAACACCACCCCCGCGCTTTAAACAGCGATATAAGTCATAAACGGTGTATCCATCCAAAGAGTCCATCGTCTCATCAGAACGGCACCACGTCTCGGTTAACATAAGGAAATCAAAAGAGAAACCAAAATCGTCTAAAAAAATATTCAACTCATCAAACTTGTTCCGTTTTCCCCGAAGAACTAACTAAACACGAGAAACCACGAAAAACCTGCGACCAGTCGTGACGTCATACTAGGAGGGTCTTTTGGGCCACCAAGCGCGTGTCGCTCGTGTGGGCAGCACGTGCAACCTCTAACCGCCTAATTGACAAACCTCACTCCAGCTGAGGGGCCCCGCCTCTTCCTCGAGGAAGGCGCGAGGGCCGGCGCTGGCCAATCGCGATAACGGATCCGTCGTCGCGGAAGTGGAGGGTCCCCTCAATTGGAGTGAGGTTTGTTAAAGGGGCACTCAAGTGGTTTTTGAGTTCGTGTTTTGATGATGACAACTGAATCTAGACGCCGTATGTGTTCCTAGAAACCAAGAAATATAGTCATACGGTAATTATTTCTTTAATAAGAATGTAATTGAAGGCCGCCAAACCTCGGATCCATCCGAAAACGAAACCACTCTTATTGGTCACCGCTCGCATATCAAAACGACCTCGGGCCAATGGCATTGGACGACGTTCCGTCGCGCAGCGGCGCAGCGATCCCGAGGTAGCCGAGGTAGCCGCACCGGCCGAACTTTTTTGTCATTCGAGCTTCGATCGTGGCGGAATTCTCTACGCTTGAGGACCTGACGCCGTTAGAGGTTGAAATGCTGGACAGCCGACCTGGGGATGATTTCCTATGACGCCACTCCGACGTGCGATGTGGACGATAGCAGCGCTTCGGAGTCGTGTTCGGGTTCCGAGGACGACGAAACGCAGACCTTTTCGGGCGTTCTTCGATTTGCGGTTGGGGCAAGTCGTAACCAAACAAACGTTTGGCATCGCAGCGATGTAAAACGATGTCGCCGCGTTGACTTTCGCCTCGGGAAGTATTCACTGGACGCCATATTTGTGGGTGCTGTTTAACGCGCATGCTCAGAACGAGCTCACATTAATAGGCTGCTAAGACCGGCACTCTTGATGGTGCGGAATGCACGTTGCAAAAGGACTTTTGAAGCTCGCCATCAGCACGTGCTCAGCCTTCGCGCACACAGCTATGGCCGCCAGTGAATACGTACCTATATATCCCCCTGCACCATAGAGATCATACATACTAACTCTAGAGGAAAAGGTCCGCCATTTTCCCATACATTCTGGCTGCCGCAAGCGGCGGATCATGCAGGCAGACCTTCTGGGTCCCAAACACGGTTACATCATCAGAGCAGTTTCGTGAACTTCAACAATTCACGAACTTACCGGTGGAAAGATATTCACGTTCCTTTCGAAGCTTTCTTTTTGAAAAGCGCGCAGATGTACGGCCTCGCGTTAACGCTAAACTAAACCATATACCCGGCTTCGCCAGTGGGGCGCGGCTGGGCGGGGATGAGGAATACGAAACTGCGCAACCACCAGATTTCCGAGATTTCGACAGAAGGGAAGTTAATGCAGCGTAATGAGTTTATTGCTTTTTATAAGCGTTAGAATAGCTCATAATTTAGTTTACAACGTTAAATTATCACTGTTTATATTGCTAAGAGTTTTCACTCTTCGCGTTACCAAGGCAACGTTGCTTTCTTTCTCTCGTGTTCTGTCGCTCTCTTTTGCGTTCGTTCACTCGGGACCCAGGATGTCGGCGCACGGGATTTGCCACTCCTCCTCACCCACCTTTACCCCCCTGCCCTGCACTGACACCAGTCGTGATGTCTCTTTCTGACATTTTTTTTTTTTAAATAACAAGAGTACGCGTGCATAGCTTTGATAGGTGCTGAAGATGCGCGATAGCGGAGATTAAAAAAACTCCTAGTATGACGTCACGCTGGGGGAAGAGGGGCTTCAGCGGTTCATAGAAAATAAATTCCTGCAGCGTGCGTGCACCAAATTGAAAAATAATCTCGATATTCGTGATCCTGGAGGACTCAAGAGGATTCAAGCGATTTTCCTCAAATACAGAACCGCTTCAGTTTCCCTTTGAGGCTCTAACAATGTAGTCGTTAGGATCTCACAATGTAATCGTAAATGGTTGAGCATAGAGCGGTATGAGTGAAGCCGAGAAAAATCGCTCCAAATGGAGGATGTTTTGCGTCTTTGATTATTTGTATTTGCATATTTTTTTTTATTTACCTCTGGAGATTCAGTTTATCACAGAAAGCAGCAGGCCAACACCCGTAGGCCGTGTGGGCGGATAACAGATAGAGGCTTGCATTTACACATGTGTACGTATGGAGCTGCAAGGAGCTGCGAGGGAGAAGACGAAGAGGAGACTGATGTAAGCCGCCCTGGGAACAACAACAATACCAACAGCGTCCGCCCGGACGACGCCCGGGGGACCACAGGGAGGCAGGAGCCATGGGGGACAAGGGAGAAGAGCGGACCATGATCACTGGCCCCGAGGGGCGCTCCATGATCACCTTCACCCCGGACTTCCGGGAAGCGGGACCGACTGCTTCTTCGGCGAGTATCACCACCCCCGGAGCCACCGAGCCGCTGCTCACGCAGTCAGCTGACGTGTCCTCGAGGCTCGAGCCTGAGAGCGAACTGAGCCCCCAGCCCGGTCTGCTCAGTCCCCGGACGCGACCGCAAGTGGTGTCCCAGGGCACTCCGGAGGTCCCTCCGCTGGCCCGTTCCCCTTTCCTGGAGACGCCGACTCGAACGACCCTGAGGACGACTCCCCTGTTCTTTCCCGAAGAGGGCTCCCAGGCGCTCGTGGCAACAACGCCGCCGCCGACTACTCCCCTGTCGGCATCATTCCCGGAAGGTGAGGCGATCTCTCAACTGTGGTTTCGGTGGGTATTTGCAGATGCGCTGCGTTGCCTTCGCCACCGTTCGGGATCTTCCCATGGCCAGCCTAGTCATGCGAGATGTTGCGATCATTGTTTCACCTTCCGTTGGGTTATAGGCGCAAAGTAACCAATTGTTTTGGTATGTGCTCTTCTGGAACTTTGTTGAGGCAACTGAGACGTTTTGTATTATTATTTTTTTTAAGCGAGGAAAGGTTTTTTTAGCGAAGTTGTCACCAAAAGCGTTGCTGCGGTCGACCTCCCACAACCGGCGAAGAGCTCACAATCAATAATGTCCTAAAACTTCAAGGGGAAAATGGAGCCCATTTTTGCCCGTTTTCGGTTTCTGGTGCCATAGATCCCCATGTATTCGAAAACTCGGTCGGCCGCCATTTTCCCATTGAAATTTTCAGAAAATCACATAACTTTTTATTAAGTTATCGGATCGGGCTTAAACTTTGGCATTTGGTTGTGACCTCTAGCGCTACCTTTGGGCAGATAATGAGCGTTCGGCGATGCCTAGTTTATTTTTGCGGTAGAAAAGACCCTGCAAATTTTCTTTTATGACACCCTGTAGAATCTACTCTACTCTTTAATCGACGGAAATGGAGGTGAGAATGACAACTTTGGCTGTGTTGCTGCTGTGGACAGGACGACTCGAAGCTTCCACTGTGCTCTTTAGCACACCACCGATCTTATCGTTTGAATCTCATGATATGTCCCACGTAGTAACAAAAGTCCATTGTTGTGTTATTGAGGAGCCCATGGAGTTCAGCCTTTAAGGCTCAACTCCATGGGACGAATATGCTGCGAAAAATCGACGAATTTTGCCCAGCGGCTTTTGCTCTGCGCGTGGGATTAGCACATTTGGTGCTATGCTATGCAAAGGGAGCATGCATGCCGTCGGGCGGCGTTCGTCGGTTATTCGTCGTACAATTCGCTCCATGGAGTTCAGCCTTAAAGGCCGGTTCTCCTCTCACCTCGGAAGAGCCAAACGAATTGTTTATTAAAAGTTTTTTCTCTCTCTCTCACACGCAGCGAAGCGCTGATGTAGCGCTGCTCACGTGTCGTCAGGTATACTTATCGTCTGCCATGAGCAACAGTTTTTACGGTGCGATAAAAAGCTGATGAAAAGCATCAGTACGCGCTTAGCGAAAGGTTAGCGCTATGCTGGTAGCGGTCCGCTGCATGTAGGAACTGTCCGTGTGACACCGATGGCGGGAAGATGCTTCCGTGGCACCCTGTTAGGTTTCTACCCCTATCGTAACGCCGCCACCAACATTTACTTCAATGAATATGATCCTCACTATACTCGACGACAACTTGCTGCAGCTATCGCTCGCTCCAACGCTATGTTTGATGTAAACTTAGGTTCAGCGTCATTCAAAGTTTCACCTTAGCACTGAGTCGTTCTTTTTGCGCAGAGCCGCCTCGTGACTTGGAGCCCAGCGGCGCGAAGTCCCGTAAAAAGCTATCCCTGCCGCTCACGCCAGACACGCCTCCGATCATGGCCACGCTGCCGAGAAAGGCGACGGCAGACCTGTCTATGCCCTCGGGAAAGTCGCCGTCCGTGAGGGCTCACGAGCACTTCCTGGAGCCCAAGCCGCTCAGGCAGGCCCACAAGGAGGCCAACAGAAGGGAGAGGCTCATCAAGACCACCAGGACCCTGAGCATCCACCTCAGCTTCTTCGGGACGGTGAGTAACCATCAGTCTTGCACTCAGCAGGAATAAACCTCTCGGTGTGACTAGACCAACTAAAATGGCGGAGCCAGCGACTTCCTTTTTCCTTTCGGCTGCAGAGGAACTCCGAAACTCTAGGAGCACGTAACAGGTATACCACAAAATGTCGTACCGCGTTTCACGCGGTGGCGTGTGCCTCCAGAACGCTTCTAATTGGATACATTTCGTATCCGTGTCCTTATAAGACATATAGGAAACGCCGAAAGACAAGGCGGGGTGATGTAGTGCTTAGCATGCCGAGGCCCGGCGGCTTATTTGTAAACAGTAGGCGATACGCGGCATGGCAACGCCGCTCGCGCCGGGTTGGCTGTTCCTCGAAGAGGACGCTGCGTCGTCACACATAGCAACGAGCGCTTGCTGCGCCGGCCGGCAGGGGGCGTTGTGCGTGTATTATTTAGTGGTAGGGTGCCTCGATAACGCGCCCCTTCGTCCAGGGTGCAGACAACCCCGTCGACGACGCCATATTGGGGCGTTCCGTGCAACTGCGCTATTGCGGGTGGATTACTTCTTGACAAGGATAAGCTTACGTCGTGCAACTGCCAATACGCGCTGTTTCTTTTTACTTAGACGCGCATGTCAGAGAGCCTTTTTACCAAGACAAATAGAAAATGAATAAGCAGATAAAAAAAATTACGACATGCGAACGCGCGGGCTTTTGCCTCTCGCGCCTTATTTTTGTGCTACTCGTTTTTTCCGATTAAAGTTAATGCAACAATTTAAGCGGCAATCCCTATCATACGCTTCGAGATATGAAATTGCATATGATGTCCAATTTATTATAGGTTTAAGAGATGATGAAATAGCTTGTTACACTGGAGCAACTGTTTTACCGTTTAATTAGACCTGCTGCAGAGCTGCATACATGCATACATACACACATGCTTTATTATTCTTAAGCACGTTTTACATTATACACTTGCTCAGTGATTTATTGTATTAAATAATGTTTGCAAATACGTACCATGTTGCAGAAAACAAATTACACTCAGAAAACAATTAAACGCAGCCGCGAATCTAGGCTAGAGACCGATGGGCGAAGATGGTACGTAATCAGTTAACTACGCGATTCTGGTGTACGCGTAGACGGCAACATCCTGCATTTATCACACCGTATCAGGGTGTTTACAAACTGAAATAGGCACAAAAAGTTATCATAGGGTTGTTCGTAAGCGAGAAAATCTAAGGCTGGAGAGCTACCCCTTAAACGTAATTTAATCGTGAAAGAGTAGTGGCTATAGGGAGTATTCACTGGCGGCCATAGCTGTGTGCGCGAATGCTGAGCGCGTGCTGATGGCGAGCTTCCACAGTTCTTTCGCAACGTGCATTCCGCACCATTAAGAGTGCCGGTCTTAGCAGCCTATGATGTGAGCTCGTTCTGAGCATGCGCTCTAAACAGCACCCACAAATATGGCGTCCAGTGAATACTCCCTATTCTCTAACGACAGAAAATAGGTTGCGATCTAGGTATCGGCGAGATGTTTTAGTGGCGCCCTCGTATGGTTACCTTTCGTGACGTCATTACCTTGTGAACAACAAGTTTGAAGGTGTTTGTAATGAGCATGGTGGAAGCTTGAAATCATAGCACTCTTAAACCAACACTGCCAACACCGTCAAAATTGAAGTTCTGCCATTCCTCTTATTTCCGCCGATGGGAAATCCTTTGCTGACATCATAGTCAGTATTCGGCCTATCGTGGAAGCCCGATCACAGCGATGCTTTCGATCGCTCACGTCGCCTGAGTTAAAGCAAGGACTGATTTCGCAGGGCAGCAACTCCAATCATGGACCGATCGATCGGAGTTGCGAAAACGTTTCCTTATAACGGCCTAATATTGCATGCAGTACGTGTAAGCAGAAAGCGGACGCGCGTTTGTAAATTACCTCGCAGATCTTGGAGTTCTCAGTAGCCCTCCAGCGATAGCGCTTGAATTTGGTTTCCCATTCACTGCTTCGAGCCTTTTCTCGGTGGAAACGAAAACAACGGAGTCCTTTTTCAAACGAAACGGCATACAGCGGCACACAACAACGCCTCATGCTAGTGAATGAACGATCACGTCTTCATCATAAGACACTCCAAGGGCATGACACGGCCGATGAAGAGATTCGGGAGATATTGTTCAAACACGGCTTTTCTGCGTGCTCTACAGCGCACAGACGCTCCGCCCGACCATATGGCGCCGCGGCGAGGAAGTCCATGGAACGCGTTTTAACCTAGCCCTCCTCCCCTCTCCCGCGTTTACGCCACTTCGCGGCGACAGTTTGCGGCCGCGTCGCTGCAAAAAAGCGTGTGTGTGTGTGTGTGGTGGGGGGGGGGGGGGGGGGGTTAAAACGCGCCCCAGTGATCACGTGCAAAGCCTGCCTGCCGGCGCAGCAAACGCACGTTGCTATGTGTGACTAGGGTGCCTTCTGCTTCCTATGTGTGACGACGCAGTGTCCTCTTCGACGAGTAGCCAATCCGGCGCGAGCGGCGTTGCCATGCCACGTGTATGCCTATCCGCGACTCCGATTGGCTCTCTCCTTTGCCCCCCCCCCCCCCCCCCCCAACCTCTATTACAACGCTTCTCTCTCTCTCCCTCTATCCGCGACTCCAGCGACCTATAGGGGGTGCCACCACCAAACACAAATGGCGGCCGAGTCCAGGTCGCGTCAGCTCGGCCGGGCCGCCTGAACAGGTGGCGCGTTCAATTTAACTGATATTCTTTTGTTTTATGCCCAATTTTATAGGTATTTGAACTGAGACGGCTAAGTGTAGCCGGTGCACATAAACTTGCAAAAGCATAGTTCTGTTTTCCCGGTGTTTTTTTTAGAGCGCAGCTCTTAGGCGCCCGTTTCCGGCTTGAGCGTCGTCGGCGTCGCCGTCGCCGTCGGCGTAACCGCGCGTAACCCTCGTAACCCTCGTGAGGGTTACGAGGGTTACGAGGGTTACTCTCGCGAGGGTTACGAGGGTAACCCTCGAAATCCTCGTGAGGGTAGCAACCCTCGTAACCCTCGTAACCCTCACGAGGGTTACGAGGGTTACTCTCACGAGAGTTACCCTCACGAGGGTCACGAGGGTTACCCTCACGAGGGTCACGAGGGTTATGAGAGTTACCCTCACGAGGGTCACGAGGGTTATGAGACCCTCACGAGAGTCACGAAGGTTACCCTCACAAGGGTTACTAGGGTTATGAGAGTTACCCTCACGTGAGAGTAACCCTCGTAACCCACACGAGGGCTACGAGGGTTACTCTCATGAGGGTTACGAGGGTTACCCTCATGAGGGTCACGAGGGTTATGAGAGTTACCCTCACGAGGGTCACGAGGGTTACCCTCACAAGGGTTGCTATAGGGTTATGAGAGTTACCCTCACGATGGTCACGAGGGTTACCCTCACGAGGGTCATGAGGGTTACCCCCCTGAGGTCGCGTGACCCTCCGCTGAGGTCACGTGACCCCCTTGAGGTCACGTGACCCCCTCAGGTCACGTGACCCCCCCTCAGGTCACGTGACCCCTCCCCCGCCGAGGTCACGTGACTTCAGGGAGTCACCTATCCCTCAGTACCCTACCATCCTATCTCTCAGTACCCTTCCATCCTTCTCCTCAAGAGCTGCGCTCTAATCCGGCGTTACAGGGAGTTGTAAACGGCTTTCATTTTTTTTCTGTTTTTTTTCGGAACAACTGAGGGCGAGATTCCAAAGATCATGCTACGGTAATAAAAGAAGTTTAATGAAAAGTCACGTGGGAAGTAATCGATTACTGTAGAGTAATTTCTCGATTACTTTTTTTTTCTTCGTTTCATGTCAAACTTTTGTTGCAGAGATTTTGTTCAAAACCGAAACTATGGGCCCCGGAGAGACGGTAATATACTAATCAGCTTTGATCATCTAAGGAAAACGGCGATGACTACAGAATTGTTCTACCGAGAGTAATTTTCAGCTAACTCGCATGCCTCGACCATGCGACTTATCTATCCGCGAAATCGAGCTTTTGTGCGAATTCGCGTTTAAGAAACAGCTCCGGTCGTCTGCTCGGTTGACAACACAGGCTGCAGGAAAATTACGAAAATTAAGCAAGCGCTTCTTGAGCCAAGGACTATGTTAACCCGCCGGCGCCCCACTAAGCAGCTGGTACTCGTATTTCAATTCAGGTTTTATAGTAGCAGTAATGTTTCTCGTCTATCGTGGAGTGCTGCGCTGGCTGGAGGGTGGCTTCTTTCCCAGTGCCCACAGGGATGCTCACGACTCGGCGGTTGAGTAAATAAATATATATTTACAAACGAAGAACAACTTTTTACAGGACAAAACAGGAAAATGTCACGCTTGGCGTACTGTCGCTCGCGACAGTCCAACGCCAACAATGGCGCCTCAGCGCCAAATCCGTTGCCGCGCACGGCAAGTTCTTCGTCCCGCAGGACAAAGTACGCGGAGCCCTCGGGACCGCGGGAGAATAACGTCTTGCTCCGCGCACGGGCTCGTTCAGACTCGCCCCTTCCAAAGAGGCGCGCCGACATCCCGAAGGGAGGCCGGACATCCCTCTCTCCCCGGAGTCGCCGACATGCCTTGACAAAGTCGCTTCCCCAATTACCACGGCGGCAAGGGCGACCACCCGCGAACAGAGGTTTGTTTACTTCCCACGCGGGGAAATCTGCTACCACTTTCGGGAGCTGGCCTCCGCTTGCCGCCAAAGGGAAAGACAAGACATCGGGCGCCTCCGAAGGACGCTTCGGGTGACCTCGCCGCCAATTCCCCGAGCTCCTTCCGCTAAGCTCCCCTCGCCATCCTTACAGTAGCAATCGAGAAGTCATTTTGACGAGCGGGTTATGTATTATATTAGGTACTATGTCCCACTACAGCGATATTAGTATATTCTTTGGTTTGAAATATGGGCTTAATTGACTAGCTATTAAGTGAACTACTGAATGAAAGTATATTTGACAGACAGAGAGATACTACTTAAACTGAGCCGAATGGTTCTACCGGCAGCACGGAGACAAACTGAAGAGAGTCTTCATCGGAGATTCACGCAGAACCTCTCTGCATTGAAGTTTGCTTCGAATCCTGAACGGAGAAAATTAGTATTTTTTGTGGCCGGTCAACCTGAGCAATGTGGACGTATATTGCTGCTGTTTCCGACGGGGGTATAATATAAATATTGCAGGCGCGATAGATCAAAATGTCGTGACAGCTTCTAACGTTGCAAGACTCGTTCCACACCTTTTGAAAACAGATCATTTCCCTAATTCATCATTTGCAGCGAGCAGGTTTTGCTGAATCAAGTAATTGCGAAATCAGCCCAACTCCTTCAGTGTGGTTCAGAGACTTTTTCGGCGAAAAGCAGGCAAGATGAATAGCCAACGCACCGACCGGCGTGGGTGGCTGAAACTTGAAGCTAACCGAACAGAACCAAACTGAAGAAAAGCAGCTATCGAACGTTCCCATTCACTTGACTGCAACATTGGAGTTCCCTCCAGTGAAATGCCTCGTCTGTCGTCCTCAGTCCACTGTTCTACATCCTTATAAAAAAAACCACTCATCAGTTACCAAGCAGTCGTCACTTTGAATGTGATTCGAGACAGACAAGAAATCAAAACGTTTGTCCGTGATTCCTCCTCATCCAAGAAATCGAAAGCACGCGACCGTGTGTTGTGGAGTAAACGGGCTTTCAAACACGCGATGGAAGGATCTACTGAGGCTTCACCACAATAATGAACAATCAGGCAAATTTAAGAAATTTCCGGACCTTCGTCAAATTACATTGTTCGCCACCGCGCCGACAACACGTATCCGCGAAAGCCACCAGAGACGCGGAGGGGCGCGGAGCGACCTGGTCCGGGTGGTTCCCGGTTTTTCCGCTTGGTGGCGTCCGTTTTGCTGGAGTCGCGGTACGCGACCCGACTGGCCCAGCCTCGGAAAATTTTGTCGTTCGGCGGATTTATTTGTTTATTTATGTTTTTACACGGTGCAGCCCAAGCTGGGCAAACGAAAGTAAGACAGCAAGGCCCGTACAAGATCACAGAACAAGTTAACTACTGTTGACTGAAAAAAAAAAAAACATGTTAATTATTGTTGACTGAAAAAAAAAAACACAAAAAACAAGTACAAATTGGCGAGTCTCCCGCATAAAATACCTTTATATCTTGGAGGCCGTCGGAAATCTCGTAGCGTTTTGCTAAGAGACGGCTTCTTAGGAACGTTAGCATTGAAGAAGCTCTGAAGAAGCCAAGTTTTTCAGTGAAACGTCGACTGCCACCCTGGAGGCCCATAAATACATTTAATTTTGAAAACGATGCGTTCATTTGCGACAGGTGATTGCAGAATGTTGCGGAAAGCGCTTGCGCAAAGATGGTGAACACAGCTGCATTGAGAAGCAGTCGACCGAAGTAAACTGCTAATATGAACGCACTATCGTCGCTTGCGGCTCATCGATAGTAAGTGAAATGCACAGAAACATGGCGGCACCAGGCAGCGGCGTCGAAGTGGTCGATCTCATGAGGATCCCGCCGGGTTCCGTGATTCTGTCCAGCTTGAACCATTGCAGCCTTGGAAAAACCTACAGCTCCTGTGTCCTCACAGTCCATCACGCAAGGCCAAGATTCTGTCTCCGAACGGGGAACAAGATGCACGTCACTGACGGCGTTCGAAAGTTTAGCCTGGTTCGTGCGCCGCGCTTAACACCACAAGCGACCGCTTTATTCCACATGGACGCCGTTCAGCACTTAAACGCGTTAAAAATCAAATGTGTGTATGATCCTTGAGGCTTCCAGGAGGTTCCTTTTAAGTTACTAGATCTTCCACGAACAAAAGAATATTTTGGGCTCCCGTCTGCTCTCTGGAGGTGCTGTCTCTGGCAGTCTGCTTGGCAAAATCGGAAAGTGGGAGAAGGGGGTGCTTGCCAAGGATGCATCTTCTGAACCGTGCGTCCTGCAATCACGAATGCGTGTGGCCAAGGTCGTTTCTCTCCCGCAGGGCATGTACTACGCCCTGTTCGGGCCCACGGTTCAGGACCTGGCTGTGAGCCTGGACGCCGACCTATTCCGCGTGCTCTTTCTACTCGCCGCCAGGGGCATCGGAGGCTTCGTCGGCGCCCTTTTCGGTGGGCATCCATTTCGCCTTTCTGTTCAGCACGGTTTTGAGCTGTACCATTACACTCCGTTCACAGCTAAACTTACAGAGCGGCGACCTACAAGCTTGTTGGAGCAGTCAGTCGTCGGTCTTCCACCACGTGATAACTTTTTTTTCTGGCCATACTCACGCGCAAAGGCAGTGGTCAGGAGATGAAAGGCAGGCGATTCGTTTGTCCACAAGCGCCAGAGAGTTTGGTCAATGGGAGGCGCGGGCAGAGCCAGGGCGTGCGCCAGACTCAGAAAGAGGGCTTGGCATGCTCTCTTGACCAACTAGAAGCCGAAAAGAATCCCCTAGCGGTGGTAGCGAGAAACAGTTCTGATCAAAGGTATATGCTCGTATATGGTTTTAATAAGCACATAAGAGTGAGGTGTAGTAACCCTTCGTGGTTGAAAATAGGGTGCACGTGATGTTTCGATCATGATCATGCACAATGATGTAAGAAACGAATGCGCCGCTCAACTCTGTTTTGCTTGGACAGAGTGTGACCACTCGGACGGCAGATTCCCGGCCCTCGGCGCTTGGCGTACCGATTATGTCGATCGTTCTGCTAGTTGCACTCTTCCGCCATGATTTTGAATGAGCGTGACTGAAACATCACGTGTACCATATTTTCAGTCACTGAGAGTTACTCCGATGCAGTTATCAGCTTTGTTTCTCGCGACCACCGCCAGGGTATTATTTCCGGCTTCTGGTTGGTCACATTCGAATTTCTGAAGACGCCCTGGAACACGCCCAGCCCGCTTGCGGCCAATGGCGCCTCCGCATTTGTCTCCTATACTTCCCAACGAATGGCCAAACTCTCTACATATACGGCTCTGGTAGAGGCAACTGATAGCTACTTTTGACTCTACCCCCTGTATTCCTCCAATCATAGCAAAGAAGAGCGCCGTCTGCCCCTCGCCCAGAGTCTTGTGTTCGAGTGCCAGACCCCACTCTCGATGCAGATGACGCTCTCGCTTACACTGATTGGGGGGAGAGTGTAGGCAGCGGGTAATGAAAAGTTGTGGAGCCAAGCACGAATAATCTATATAACCTTAAAGATCCCCAAAGTATAATGATTAGTATTACAACATTAAAACGTGCACATACTAGTATGAACGGCAAAGTAATCTTCAGTGTGCACTAAAGACGATCTTTTATAAAAAGGATCGTTAAAACGTAGATTAATTTCTCTATTTTAACGTGAAATACGCAAGAAAAACACAAAAAAACAACGTGAAGACAAATTGATGAAATCGCTGCGCAGATTCAAAACTTCATAAAAAAATATGTGGTTGGTTTTAGTTCAAAAATAAACTATATACGCATCGCGGAACACGCATTCTCCGCTCAAATGTAGCCCTAGTGGTCTGAACATGATGCCAAAATTTCATGACTAGCCATTATCTTATACACAAGTTATAAGCGATTCTTTGTGAAATTTAGAATGGAAAAATGGCGGCCGACAGATCTTTCGAATAAACGGCGCCAGTTAACGAAAACGGATGAAAACGAGCCCCATTCTTCCACTGGAATTTGAGAAAATCTCATAACTTTTGAAAGAGATCACGGTTAGTTTCAAACTTTGGAATCTGATTTGGACCAATATCGCAGAGTGTTCGTCAGCGCAAAATTTATTTGCACGGCAAAAAAGAAAAAAAAAAAAGTTTAGTTCTTTTATTTTGGGGGGAGGGGGGGGGGAGATAATCGCAAATGTGCAGAGGATTTAACTGTACTCTTGCAATAGAATAATTGTTACGAAGCTAGCGAAAAACAAATACCGGCGCCACCAAAGATTTTGTCTTTTGGCGGCCTCGTAACGATTATTCCTTTCGATCAGTATGGTTCATCCGTCTGCATATTTTCGTACGGGCTGGCCGCAGTGTTTCCTGCGAGGTAAAACGAATCGAAAAAATCGGCGCCATAGCATCCTAACATTGTGTCCATCGCAGGTGGCGTATTCCTGAAGCCGGTGAACCCGCAAGTACTCTTCGTCATATTCGACTTTTTCCTGGCAATGGCGTGCATCGGCCTGTCCTACTTCGATACTCTCTTTCAATACGTCTTCATTTTCGCCATCGGAGGCATCGCACTGGGTGCCCTTAACATCGGTACGTCCACGCCGGGTCGGTGGCCATAGCCAACACCTCCGCGGTAACAAGGCCTACCGCGGTAACGAGAACAAGACAAAGAAAGTTTTGCTTTAAAACTGCTAGAGACGAAACGCCCAAAAAACAAGCCTTCCCACCATGCTCAATGCGTCGAGGCGCATTCGGTTTTAGGCGGAGCTTTGTTTGTGTAAGCGCCAGTCTAGAAAAGAAGGTGCCGTGATATGCTCTTCTCTTTCTGTTACGTCATACAATAGTGTGCTCGTGCCGAGCGACGCAATTCCTCTTCATCGCCCCGCAGCCATTGAGATTGCGACATTAGCTGAAAATAACTCATAAGAACAAATCACGAAGTAATAAACGAGCATATTAAGTCATGCGCTGACATCATAAATTGTTTATGGTGGCTGTGACACTGTTCGTGTGACTTAAGGAGCCTTCTAATTATATGTAACGACTCCCTTCTGACAGTGGGGGTCCTCTGGATGTCTGCAATGTGGCGAGAGAACAGCGGTTTCCTACTGCAGACACTCAGCTTTATGCACTGCATGGGTTGTGTCCTCGGCCCAGTCGTCGGGGAGCCCTTCTTGACTCACCGCAGCGTCATAGAGGCGCCGTCGGCAACCCCCAGCTATCGTCTGACCTACTTGTCCCAGCTAGAAGACAAGGATTTCATCTACGTCACGTACGCGTACTGGGTCGTCGGCATCTATCTCTTTGCTGTCGTACTTTTGTTGCTGGCAGTTTTCTTCGTCGACCCGAGACACGAAAATCTGGGGATGATGGAAACCCGTTGCAACCCCGTAAAGTTGAGCCCCATCATCGCGGTCCTGGTGGCCTACCTTGCCGTCTACGTGGCCATGGAGATCCTCTACAGCCAGCTGATCGCGAGCTTGGCCCTCTTACTGGGTCACAACAAGACAACTGCCGCCTACCTGACGTCTTTGTTCTGGGCCACCTTCACCACCGTCCGCGGTGTCTGCATCCTCTGGGTTCAGCAGCACGGCTCTCTCACGGTGCTCTTGATCTGCAACGGGCTCCTGGTGCTCACGGCGTGCCTCAACTCGGGACTGGGCTACCAGACACGTGTCATGTGGGTGGGCACGTCCCTGGTCGGTGCCTGCCTCGCTCCCGTGTTGCCCTCGACGCTGCTGTTGCTGCACGACCAATCCGGGGTGTCCTCGGCAAGGTTCGCCGGCGTCCTCTTCGTGGTCGGCGCTAGCTCGGCCATCAGTCCGCTCTGCGTCGGAGCCGTGATGGAGCGGAACCCGATGCTTTTTTACCACGGATTCTTGGGGCTTGCGTTCATTTCCTTGCTCTTGGTGGTGGGCGCAAACGTGCTCATTCATCGTTCTGAAGCCGTCATCGGCGGTTACATATCTCTTCCCATGGAAGAACGCCGGCGATCGTATTAGAGCTTTAGCCGCTGCCGTTGTTTCTACCAAGCGGTTTGTCAAATTTGCACGCTGAGAGAACTCTTGAAGTTCCGTTAGTCGTGTTTATAATATGCTCTTGCTGTATAAGTTTATTCTAGAGATGCATGCCTAACGTCTGTCAAAATTATAGGTATGTAGCATATACGACACAATGAATCGAGTGGGCTCGTAGATTTAATAAACTATTTTCAGATTGTTTTGCCCCACCAAATATTCTCGATGCCTTAAAGGGATTGTCCGGTCAAATTTGGTATTCGAGAAAACAATTGAATATCATTGTTATTGCCTCGAGAAGCATCGTACGTGCAATATCCGAATTTTATATGCCCCTCTGCGTGAGTAATTGAATTTATACTGCTCCACTCGCATTCTAGCGTAAACGCTGCTTTCGTTGGCAACATTGAAGCTCTGACGTCACAAAACACAAAGCGAGCATTTTTGTCTCGTTGTTTGCCTGCGAGTGAACGCCTCAGCGTGCTTCGTTTTTGTTGTTGTGCTCGACTTCTTTCGTGGTTTAGTGAGATTTTCGTTGCGCGGTTGGGTGCCACAACCACTGGGCAGCACATACGAGCCAAGACATGACGTTCCACACTTTTCCGCGAGACGTGCAGTGACGAGCAAAGTGGATCGTCGTAGTGCGTAGGGACTGGGTTCCCGTCCAGATCGAGATCCTGCTTATGCAGCAATCATCTCTCAGAAGAAAGCTACGAGCTGAGCTCTCAGCGGACAGAAGGCTTGTAAGCTGAGGTGTGATGCTGTGCCAGCGATATTAAACTACGTCCACCCACTCCTCGCCCAAATCGGATCAGTCAATTTAGGTCTGTTCGATTCGCCTGAACTGGCTGAACTAGTTCGGCAGTGCAGGAACTGGAGCATTCGATTCAACCGGAAGTTGCACGACCGCTGCACTGGCGCGTTCGATTCATCCCAGTTCTGAACGAGTTCAGACCCAGTTCCTCGAAATCTTGCACCGGCTGCGGACTCGGTTTAGCGTCCGTGCGGAAGCAGACGACAAGAGCAGACGGTGATATCAGTACTCCTCGTCCGTATCTGCTCGCGGTGCCATTTTTCGCAGCGCTTGCTCAAATGTCTGCGATGTTTAACAATAACGCCGATACGGAGGTTGCATTTCCTCTCATTTATGATAATAACGTACCCGCGGTGGACGCGGAATTGAGATCATAACCGAGGGTAGGAATTTCCTTGATTATGATAATCTAAAAGCGTTTTAGGCACCTGCTCGTGTAGGTTTGGCTCCCTGTAGTGAGTGTTGAAATATTGGCTCATGTAAATTGTTTCTTTTTGATGTTATGTGGGGATCCACAGTGTTGATATTCTTACTTACAGATACGGGAAAGGTATTGCCCTCTTGATAGTCTCCGCCTTCAGTTGCTCTTGGATGCATATTGACGACTCCGATACATTGCAGAGGTCTGGGATTTAGTGCGTTGGCACTCGCATGTCCCCGTAGCTGTGCATAATACTGCATGCTTTGTCCGCTGGTATCTGTGGACGCCCACTAACGGGCCTGGGAAAAATACCGAGAATCGGCATATTTTTGCCGATTCTCGCTTCAACTTGACGCCAAAGTTACGGTCGATAATTGTCTTGGCCAAGACGCTATCGTCAGGCCTTCGTCTTCGAGGTGACCGGTATACCGACCGCGCGCTGCCGCCACTGCCAGTGACTCCCGACGCAAAATCATCCTGATGCCGCGAACCTATCGTCGAAATGCAAAGATTCCCTTTGAGGGGCTATTGCCCCTACCTTCTTGACTTGTAACCGACTATAGTTCAGAACTTCCTGGCCGAATCGAACAGACCTTGATAATGCAGCGAAACCGAAACCAACAGTTTAGCCATCTCGAAATGATACCAGAAGTTGTATTTAGCACGCATGCAGCCCGATATCTGTTTGACCCGCGTGTGAAAATGGAGCGTAGCTACAATTCACCAAGCTCGTACAAGGTAAGTGACGACATGCATTGGAACGGTTCGCCGTTTGCCTTCGACCCGCGGACGTCGCCTCTGAGGGAATGACCCGCAGCCTCATCACCGATCCAGTGGATCCGCCGAAATGTAAACCCAGATGCCGCTTCGTGTACCTAAGTGCCGCTTCAGAGGCGAAATCTGCAAACTTTGCTTTGCAAGTGCCCCTAGTTCGATCGGCGTCCGTCGCGGTTGTGTTTGCGCGAAGCGGCATGCGTTTGCTCGAAGCTTATGGCTGTCTGCGAGTAATATCCTGCTAAAAGGTGCGACTTTTTTTGCACGTGCTTGGGAACTGCATTAAAAGAACCGTATTTCAGTAAGGTACTGCCTAGGAGACTATATAATTCGAAACAAAATACAAGATATCCATCGACCAACGCTTGTTATCCCGACCATCCGACAAACCTTTGCGATTTGTGACGTCACGCAGCACCTACGGATGTCAGCCATTGACACTGGCGAAATTCGGGGTGCAGTTTCGTACATAGGATCATGAAAGGTTTAATTAATAACGGGAGATCATATATCAAAATAAAAATGACGTTTGTCTATATGAAGGCTCCCTCGACGTAACGAGCCCAAGAACTTAAGTACTTCCGGTTTCGACCGGACAATCCCTTTAAAAGCACAAACACACAACATTACACGTAGGGTCCAGGATTTATTTGCTGGTGAATGCGACAATCCCTCCCGGCGTTTAAAATCGCCACAAGAGGGGTTTTGAACTTTGAAGTCATGTGAGCGGCTCCGTTGAAAGAAGAGATAAAAGTACTAGCGTTCCAGGCAAATGGGTGCCGTAAGTTTATCCTCGCTTGGAATATTCAAGTCCGATTTCGCTCGCAAAAAGAGGATGGACAGGATTGAAAAGTCGAAGAAATGAATTGCATTTGTGCACTTTGGGAGCGGCATGTGAAGTTAATTATTTCTGATGAAAGATGTGTTAAGCGAGAATGAAAGAAAACGACAGGGCAACTGAAGGGCTCTACAAACGGGAGACTTCAAAAACACATGAATCAACGCAATTCCGCCATATACACTCTAAGAAAAGATGGAGGAAAAAGGTAACAACGGCGCGTTTTCCTCCCTTCAACTGAAGCGCCCCCAAGCGGACACGAGAAGAAGGGAGGAACGAGAAGTTTTTCCGTGCTGAGTTCGGTTCTGTTTTCTGATGCCGAATGCCAACCGGCAGTCAACGTGGTAGCGTATAGAGATGTCGCGAACCGGTCGAGGTTTGAGTTGGATCAGGTTCGATTTTTTCGAGCTTCTTGTTAAAAGTTCCACAAAGGTTCGACTCAGGTTCGACTGCTTTGCGCATGCGCGACAGGCTGCAGCCAGTTGGGTACCCGGCCAGTTGGCTTAGAATTGGATGGTGCATGATGGCTAAGGAATTAATTAATGGAAGCACTGATTGGTTATTTCAGTTAATACAGTACAAAAAAGTAAGTTAACTTCTTCATTGATTAGAATTAGTTTCTTTTAATTGAAACTGTTCATAAAATTAAAATAACCCTTTCCATAAAAAAAAATAAAATTCCAAACTTAAGCATGCCTTATTAAGGTAGCAATTTGGGCCAGTTGGTTCGTGATACCCTAAAGAAGCGCAAAAAAAATACAAGGACGAGGAAGTAAACAGACAAGAGCGCTCTTGTCTGTTTACTTCCTCGTCCTTGTATTTTTCGCGCTTCTTTAGGTGCATGCTTGTATCAAGGTCCTGTCCACAAAGTGTCCACAAAGTCGAGCCGGTTGAATCTGGTTTAAAGTTCGACGGTTTCGAACCCCGGAAGCTTGACCTAAAATCTGGTTTGACAGAAGTTCGCGACACCCCTAGTTTCATATTTTTGCGTGTCAGCAACATAGCAGCAACATCGCGATGGCAGTGTTGTGCGTTGTGAACAGTAGACTGGAATTATCGCCGCTGTGACCGTGTGTTCACGTATCAGTGGTGTAACAACAAGATGAGATGACGTAAACTGTCGGGCATTGATGCCGCTTGGTCGGGCCGTGACCGGAGGGGGCGGGGTGTCGCAGGTTGGTATTCCGCTTTACATTAAAGAATTCAAGAACACTAGAGGGATTACTATGAAACCGATCGACCTGCCGATAGTTATGTTGTAATGCTGATCTGAACTGTAGCTTTTATCGTACAGTGGCCATTGTGACTGCCGTCTGCGATGTCCTGTTGTCTCCAACTCGAAAGCGATTGCGCTCTGGGGAAAAGACTGAGGAGTATAGAAATATGACGAAAAGTACGTATATTTAGAGTTTGGAATTTTACCATTAAAAAAAGATAATAAGCAAACTAGAAAAAAAAGCAGATTTTATTTAGTTGTTTATACTGCAGTTCCTGGAGAAGCTGCCCACCAAGTGGCGCGCTGGGATGTGCGCTAAAAGTTTTCGAGCTCGCCACGGCGTAGCTCCGTACCAAAAGCCGCTCTCAAAAGAGCAAATTCGATGCAGCTGTTGCACGGTAATCAGATATTATCGCGAGGCATGAAAGAGGGTCAAATTTGTTGCCACCAGATGGCAGGCTCAAGGAGAGCAATTGCAAGTAGCTAGGCTGGGTGGCGCTAGGTACCGCCCAATTAATGTTCTACAAAAATATTTTTATTTGTTCACGCCATTATTCGCTTCGGGAACCTTTACTATACACACATGTAGATACATTGCGCATACCACTAGCATCAGCGGAATATATACATTTGAGCGCACACACATATACGGCACATACAAATATCAAAACAACAGCACACTATCCCGATCACTACTTCTGCGTACTGCGTCTCCGCCTTTTATACTGGTCGTTTTGAAGATACAGATTTTCTCGGTGACCAAATGAGCAATAAAAATATTCCCAGCATATTGATTTTTTGCCAGCAATGTCACAACTCTGAGAGTATTTAGAACGGCTCAGGGGATGAATCTCTTAGTAAAAGTAAACGCTCATGCCGAAAATATTTGAAAGCCAATAGATCAAGCCGCTCCAATGCGGTC